TTTTCCCAGAGGAGGAACACAAAAGTGTTCAAACATGCACACCCAAGTCTAGGTAGAGTGTGAGGTCAGTGGTAAATGGGTGACTTTAAAACAGAAAAAAAAAAAATTAAATCTGGTGTGTTTTTGATAAATGCAAAAGAAAAAGTTCCTGTGCTTTTCTTGATAGGTACAAAACTCCGTATGCAAAACCATAAATTGATGTTTATTATTGTCCCACTGACAGTTTACTACATTTTCTTGTCAACACACTACCATTGGAGCAATAAAAATGTCAATGTAATATTTGCCATCAGTTATTTATCTCTTTAGTAAGCAGTGTTATGTGATTCTTCTGCCATTCTTTTGTTTTCTGCTTTTGGTGTTCTTACGGTGTTGTAACATACGTGTATTGCTTCTGAAAAGTGGTTTTGTTTAAGCTGTATGAAACTGTGTTCTTAACACTTTTATTCTGTTTACAAGTGAACAGCCACTTTTTTAACAGGACCTCACATCTGGAGAGTTTTCTCTCTGTTTTTTATTTTAAATGAAAAATAAAATTCTAACTGAGCTTGCTTTCTACAATTTACTGCACTGGCTTGTGCCATTGAAAGAAGCTGGAAGTCAGACATGCTTCATCACTTCGAGACATTTTTCTTTAATTAAATTCAAAGATGAAAACCTTGAATAGTGCAATGTGTTTATGGGGAAAAAAAAAAATTAAAAATTCCTGTGTCTTTCCCTGTGGATGTGTTTTAGTGTGATGGCAGCAGTGGTGGGGTGTGTCTAAATGAGACACCTGATACAGCCAGGCCAGGGCTTTGGCTGCTTCAAATAACAAGACTTGGAAAACTTAGGAAGGATTCCCAAAGATGAAAACTGCAGAATGATCATCATATCTGATTTTCCTGGTGCTCCACCTTCCTGGCAGGACAGTGGTGGAGTCACCATCCCTGGAAGTGTTGAAAAACGTGTGGCTGTGGCCCTGGAGGACGTGGTTTAGTGGTGACCATGGTGGTGATGGTGATGGTGACCATGCAGGTTGATGGTTGCACTTGCTGATCTCTGAAGTCTTTGCCCACCTTAACGATTCCATGATTTGGTTGGTGGGGTCACAGCCCCTCCCTTGGGAGGACTTCCTGAAGGAATCTCTCCTTGCAGCGTTCCTCTCCAAAAGCAGAGGTTTTCTCCCACCTGGCAGGGAGCCAGCCTGAGTAGGGACAGTGTGTGAGGGTGAACAAATCCCTGGCTTCCCAAGGGGTTTGTGCCCAGCACAACACAGCCCTTTGTGTGCATGACCAGCCTGCCTTTGGAGCTGTGAAAGCAGGACTTAAACTAAAGCCTTTGGCTCATCCCTGAGGGAAAAGCACACATTCCTGAAAGGGGCACGTGCAATGTTTTTGTTGGAAGTTGTTTTGGGCAAACCCAGGAGCAGCAGAGCTGATACTGGATGTTGGCTGAGAACTGCAGGGAATGTTACTGGGGTGTTCAGCCAAAACGGGGATGAGGGGCTGAGTCAGGAGTTAATCTCTCAGGGGGTTGAGGAGATGGAATTGCCCAGATTTAGCAGCAGAGGCCTGTGTTAAGGATATTTGGGGTTTGGCCCTGGCTCTGTTGGAAGGCAGTCTCAGACCTGTTGGTAGAGCAGCTTTGCTGTGGTGTCTGTGCCAGTGTATTTATAATGCTGTGTCCGTCATCACTTGAGCTGTTCTAGCTGAGTTTATTTTTCTAGTGAAGCTTGGAGAGACTTAAACCCTTCATTCCTTAGACCAAATTAAATGTTAGCCTCCTCTCAAAACCAAAGTTCTGTTTCTGTTCATCCTGCTTGCATTTATTTGAATTAATTATCCTTGAATAGGAGTGACCAGGAACAATATTCCAGTTAGTGGCTCATGGCCAAGGCACCAGGTATTTATTTCAGTGTTGATAGTTCCCTCTCTTGTGTGAAAAGAATGTGATCCATTAAATTTGAGTGATCACATTTGTCTCCTCAGTGGCTGTATTGTATTTCTGATTCATAGATGTTCTGTGATAAATCTGGGGCTGTTTCTCTTCAGCCACTTGTAGTTTATACAAGTTCCCTGCAGACACTCATCATCAGTCCAGACTCAGCATCTGACACTTTGTACTGGTGAATCTCTCAATATTTCCATTGCTGTGTTCTCCAGTTCACCTTGTATTCCTATAAAAAGTGTTTGTCACAGGCTGGTTCAATCTGCAAAATTAACACAAATGAGTTTACTAGAAAGATTAGTTTTGATGCCTGAATTTTGCTTATGATTTTATAAATGCCCTTTTACTTACTTAGTGCCTGGCCTGCTTTAAATATTTTTATTATTTCTACATCTGACTGAATCAGTAATTTCCTTGTTGTGGTTTATCTGGGAGATCGAATCTACTTGGACTTGCTTGATTTACATCTGGTTTTTTTATAAACATGCTAGCAGCAGATTTGGGTCTGGGCTAAACTGCTGAATTCTACATTTTCCCTAATCACTGAATGTATTTAGATAATGATCCTTTCAATATATTCACTTTTTATTTCACATTCTTTTATGTATACCTTACCATCTATAGTAGCCTTTCTTGAGCAGTAAATTAAAATTTCTGCAGGAAATAGGTTTGTATATTTGTATTCAGTGGTAACCAATATGAGATTTTGGCTAGAAAAGAAACGCTTCTCAACAACAGTGCTGGTCCCATGGGATAGGTAATAAAATTGGAAAGAGGAATTAGAGTAGCTCTCAGACTAATAAGAATTTAAAATTAAAAGGAAAATATTAATCAAAATGTGATGAGTGATCTGTATTTACTGTAAATTATATGGTGTGCAAGCCTGGAAGAGTAATTGAAAACTACTGGTTCTCCAGACGGTTCCTACAGGGATCTCCTTGGACTTTTTTGACAGTGAAGTGTGAATACAGCAACAAAAGTCCAAAGGAATTCTGGGTTTTGTTGTAAATGGAAAACAGTGGGAAATGGAAAAGCCACTGTTGAGGCTTGTTGGTGAGCAGGGCTTTCCCACTTGTGTGGAGTTAACCTGGATCCATGGCTATAAACCAGGGAGTTCATCAGCTCCTGGTGGGTTTTGGATGTCCAATTCCCATTCCAGTTCCTACGGTGAGTATTCATTCAGCGTTCCCAAGGTAGGATCCAGCAGGGCACAAGGAGCAGGAATGGACCACAGCGGAACCACAGGGAACATTTTAATCCGGGATTTTTCTAGCACTGTTTAGTGCATGGAAAAGGTAACTTGCTTCGGGTTTCTCTGTACGTTTTGTGAACATTAGTGCTGAAAATCAGCTTGCTCTAAGTTTCCCTGTGGTACTGATGGAGTTAAGAGCTGTGGAAGAGAGGGTGATGCTCCGAACAGGAGCTCGCAGATGGAACTGCAGAAGGAGCCTCAGGCGGTGAAGTTCAGCGTTCACCGAGGAGCTGCACAAACCCCACCCAGACAGTCCCGAATGTGTCCGCAGCTGCTCGGGAGCACCGCTGCGCTGACAGCAGTGACAAGGAGCGGCATTCTGTGCTGCCCGTCCCTTCCCAGCGCCTCCTCGGGAACCCCGCGGGGCCCCTCACGCCCTTCCCGGGGAGCTCCGAGGGGGACGCGCCTCAGCCTTGCGAGACTCCTGGCGAGGGGCCGAAAGCTCAGAATTCCGTTTTATCGGAGAATTCCGTTTTATCGGAGAATTCCGCTTTGTCGGAGAGCTCGGCGCGGCGCTGCCGCGGGCAGGCCCGGCTCCCCGTTCGCCGCGCATGCGCGCGGGGCTGGCGGGGCGGGTTTGGCGGGCGAGCGGCAGCGGGGCCCTGCGGGGCTCTGAGGGCGGCGTTAGGGCCCGGCGGGGCCGTGAGCGCGGCTCCGGGGCTCTGTGCAGCCGGCGGCACTAGGGCCCTGCGGGGCGCTCGGGCGGCGTTAGGCCCCGGCGGGACACCGCGGGCGGCTCTAGGGCCCGGCAGCGCGGGGCGGGCGGCTCTGGGGCCCTGCGCGCCCACGCCGGGGGTCTCGCCCCCCCCTCCCGCCATAGAAGGAGCAATGGCGGCGCCGTAGCGCGGCCGCCGAACCCCCGCCCGAGCGCCGCGCCCGGGCCCGGCGGGAGCCGAGCGGGGCCGCCGCTCCTCCTCCTCCTCCTCCCGCCGCCGCTCCCCGCAGCCCCGCGGCCGCCATGGCCACCGAGCTGGAGCCGCCGGCCGCCGGCGCCGTGTCGGGCGCGGCGCCGCTGGAGGCGGAGGAGGACGAGGAGCACTGGCTGTACGGGGGTAGGTACCGGGGACAGCGCGGGGCCCCGGCCGGCAGCGGGCCCGGCCCCGCCTCAGGGCCGCCCCCGGCTGCGGGGCCGTGCGGGACCGGGGGCGGCCCCGCGGGAGGGAGGGACCGGCATCTCTCCCTGGGCCCCCTCAGAGGGACCGGCCTCTGCCCCCCGGCCCCGGAGAGGGACCCGCGTCCGCCCCCGGCCTCCCCTCAGCAGCGCCTGAGCGGCTCTTTCTGGGCGGGTGGCGGTGTGTTATTGTCCTTTCATCAATAACACTGATGCAGGGAGGTTAACGCCATGCTTTGTTAAGAGTTTCAGTTCGCTAATCACCCAAACCTTGTGAACCCCTGGGCTTGCGGGGCTGGGATGTGGTCGGCGTAAACCACAGGACTTTATTGGAACGTCTTTGTCCTCCCCATAGGCTTTCCATATGAATGCTTTTATGTTTCTTCTTCCCTGGCACGTTAAAATTCTGTATAGAGACCTTCAGAGGTGACTTAAGTTTCTATCTGATAGTTATCTCTGTTCTCTGAGACTTAGGATTTGAATTTGGTTTGGTGTGAGGCATCACCTCTGCGGATGGGTGGTGTTTGTTGGGTTGGGTTTATTTTTAGTTGTCCCATTTCAAGTTGAACTTTGTTGAAAAGAGAGTGTTGGGGTTACAGTGCCTTGGCACCACTGGGTATTTCTGTACCTGTGATGCCTTTTGCGCTTCAGTTTAGCTTCTTTCCTTTCACTTGAATAATTCCTTTGTTCTTACTGTTGTTTTTGCAGATGACACCACTGGTAAGCAAGAAGATGGACCAATTTCTGGGTGAGTCCTGAGGCTGTTTATTCATTATAACAGTGAATGGTGTAAAGGGCCTTGTTGACCAGAGCTTCACGAGTGCTTTAGAGCAGTGCTGCTTCCAGGAAAAGCAGCCTGTCCTTTCCCCATCCCTTGGGATCATCCCCAGCTGCCCTGCTGGGGTGGCAGGCATGTATGGATGTGGAAGCTGAGCTGGATGTGTGGACTGGTTTGATTTAGAACTAACTTTGAGCCTTTTTTTTTTCTCTCAGCAATTAGTTTCAAACCAGATCTGTTTTCCAGTTTAATTCCCTGGGAAAAAAAGATGCCCTGAGGATTGGCTTTGTGCTGGCCTGGCATTGGTAAAACTGGCCTGTGCTTTAGTCTGGGAAAGGTACAAAACCTTGAGCTTGGGTTAAAATCTTGAGATGCTCAAACCAGCACATTCTGTGAGATCTCTCAAGTGGTGTGGGTAAAACTTGGAGATAAAACCAATGATCAGTTTGGCTTTCTGTGTATGGAAGGGATTGTTTGTCCTGGATTATATTTGCTCTCTGTTTGTAGCTGTGTGTTTTGCATCAGCAGAGCTTGGTCTCAGCACAGGATTATCTGTTTGCCATTTTAAATGTAACGTTTTTCAGAAGGCTTGGTTTTTACTGGGCTTGTGTGTGTTCAGCCCCTTCCAAAGTTCAGTTTAGTGTTTATTGTTATTGTAGGTGCAGTGTTTGGAATGTTGAGGTTGTTACAGATACTGTCCTACTTCTGTGCTTAAGGAACATGAAAACTTGTTCAGATAAACAAGTGGTAAAAAACATGGTAAATTGTTACCTAAAAACATCAAATGAGCTTTGTGAGGAGGAACAACTTTTAGACAGAAATTTACAGCTGCTTTACATAAATCTGCTGTTCCTTGTCACTTTCATGTGAATGTAATTTTACTTTACAAGCAGGACTAAAAATCTAAATTTCCAGCAACTGTCTCCAATAACTGCAAAATGCAGGAAGGAAGAATATTAGTGGCCATGCTGGCTCTCCTTTATTTCTCTTTTTTTTTTTTTTTTTTTTTTTTTTTTTCCCCCATATTTCTTTGTTGCACGATGAGAATCTGCCTAAATGAAGAGCTGTGGGGTGTTTTAAGAAAAATGACTCTTTGTTTGCTCTGCTGTCAGCAGCTGCAGCTCCAGGGATGCACTGCTGGCTTGTCTGAAGTGTTTGTCCCCAGCCAGGAAGCAGAAATCTGCAGAGTTTGGGATGCAGCATCATTGACATTCCCGAGCCTAAGGGATGTGTTAGATGCCAGCAGGAAGCTGTGCTGTCAGCAGTGCCCAGGATTGTGTTGGCATTCTGGAGAAGTGAAATCTCTGCCATGTTTTTCTGTGCCCAGATGATGCTGGGGACCTGTCAGATGGTTCATTCCTGGGAAGCAGAGAGGTTAGGGAAAGGCCCCTGGTTCCCAAGTGTCTCTCTGAACTCCAGTTCATACATTTTAATGCACACCCACAGATGCTTCATGTGACTTGAAGCTGAAGGTAACACTTGTCACTCCTCCTGAACGCTGTCATCTCAGAGCTTTGAGGAGATTCAGGGGTGGAGGTCAATGCTGAGTTGCTTGGACTGGGCAAAAAGTTTTTGGATCCATCAGAGAGATTTTCTCCAGTGATCCATGCTTTCATCCTCATGTCACAGTCTGTGGCTGCAGTATGGAAATCCCTGGAGGCTGATTTTCCCTCTGACATCTTGGCTGCCTTTTATACCTGAAAGTGTATGCAGGTGTCACATCAGGAACTTGGCACCCATGGGAGCTGTGCTTGGTCAGCTGCCCAACCTTCAGCCCTCTTTTTCATCTTGGCCTGATGAATTTCTTTGTACATGGGACTTTCCCAAAACGGGGCTTCAGTTAGGCTCAGATTGTTTGTTCTTTGTTTTACACCCAGTAACTGTTGAATTGTGTTATTTTGCCTTTCTTGTGTGGTGACTTGTGTCACTCTGAGGTGGCTTTGATGTGACCAGTGTTTAGATTCTGGGAGATGTTGCCTGTTCCTTTTTGAACACAATCCTGTGGATGTTTGTTGTCCAGCATGGGATTTAAATTAATAGCAACATCTCCACAAAGCACTGGTGGAGAATGGGGTTTCCTTGGCCTGGGCTGTTCTGGTTGTCTCACTTGAAAAAACTCAGAATTATTTTAAAGTTCTACTAAGTTTTACCTGTGATGTTAGAGACAAATGAGCTCTCTGTATTTCAGTTCTGTAACACTTGGTATACTCTTTTCTAACACTTGTACATCAATTCCACTTTCTTGCTTGGCCAGTGCAATAAACAATGTTGATATTTGTACAAACTCTTAAACTGGAGGTAAATCCAAACCTGAGCATTGTTTCATCAGGAATAATTTGTAATGAGTGAGAAGAATGGGTGCATATTATCTGACTTTTCCTTTTGGAATTTTAACTACTTACTGTAAACTATTTGTAGAAACACTAAAGTCGCTTTTTCCTTAATTTCTCTGGGACAGATGCCTTTGCTGCTGACTAAATGCATGTGTAATTATTAGCATCCTTAAGAAGGAGGTGAAATGTTGCTGATTATGGTCTTATTCTTATCAGTTGTGATTGTGCCAAATCCGAGCTGAGCCAGCTGCCACTGAGCTGTTGAGTACTGTCAGGTGCTCTCTGGATGTGTGAAACTGATTCTTCCCAGCAAAAGCAAAGCCAAGCCAGGAGGATGGATTTTTTTTGTCAGGTAGTTGAGCAAATTCCAGCAGAACAAACACACAAGAAGAATAAAGTATTGTGTGAAAGTCACCTGGGCAAAGGCTTTAGAACTGGTTGTAGGTGACCCTCTAGGCTGGGCTTGTCCACTTTCTCTTCTGTGTCATGGTCACTTGTTTTCTCTGTCCCCTTCACCAGACACACAGAATCTGCTCACCCTCTGCAGGATGCTCCCCAGGAGAGCCGGCCCGTCAACAACGAGGACAGAGAGATGTCCCAGCACGTACGTGTCCTGCTGCCCACGGTGCATGTGGGGATTTCTGTGCTTCTGGGGACAAACAAGGAGTGGAAAGATCCTGGTACTGCCTAACACTTTGTATTTGCAGTGTTGGGATGCACTGCCAGCCATTCCCAAAGCAGCTCCAGCCACAGCCTTGCCTTGTCATCCTGCCTTGAGCCTGGTGTAGGCTCTGCTCAGACCCTCTCAGGAGGCAGATCAGGGTCTCTGATGCTGCAGTCTGGTAGGAAAAGCAGAGCACGATGTGTTCCAGCTCAGTATTCAGTGTGACTTCTCAAGGACCTGTAAAATATGGGTAACAGTGGGATAGAAAGCCCAAAGTGCTGGGAATCAGTTTTGTTACAGGCTCAGACCTCTTGGAATGCAATTGAAGTGGCTCGGTGCTGAAAGAGGAGGAGGAAGTTGGTTCTCCTCATCCTCCTCTCCTGGACTCTTCGATGAGTTTGTTTTCTGCCACATCAAGAAGGTTCATGCAGAGTTCTGATAGACCCACGTGCTGTGGAAAAGGAGGGAGGGGGAGAGACACCTTCCTCATGTCGGGTGAGGTGATAATTCAGGTCATGCCTCCCACAGTCCTGGACTTGCTGGATATCTGGAAGATTTCTTTTTCTATTCTTTATTTTTGTGCCTAGCACTGGGGTTGCACTGGAGTCAAATCTGTAAAGTGAAGTGATTGTGCTAAATCAGCCAAACCAAACTCCTCAGCAGCTCCCTACCACAGAAGTTGTGGTGAGAGAATATTTGCCCTGAGGTTCTTAGGTGAAGCCTGCTGAATGTATTTTGGTGGTTTTCATTTGTGGTTGTGTACTTTGACCATGGCCCTTGTGAAGGAGGTGTGTCAGAAAAGCCCCAACTCTCAAAAAGAGTGGGGCTGAGGGACATGGTGAAATTCTTAGAACTGAGTTAAACCTTCCCTACGTTCACAAATATTACCCCAAGTTTTACGTAGGGCCAAATCTTCAAAGGATGCAGGAGTTCTTCTGTGGGCAGCTGCCCATTGTTGTCGAAGGCTGTTAAGAAGCTGTGCTGGAGAATTCTCAGTTGTGTGTATTGACGAGCTCCTGTGTGACTGTGCTGTTGCAGGCCCTTCCCAGTGGTGAGGATGATGAGGATGACAGTGACAGCGACAGCGATGACGATGACGTGAAGGTCACAATTGGCAACATCAAGACGGGAGCGCCGTCCTACATGTGGGTACTGCTGCTGTGGGGGATCCCAGCGTGTTGGGATGGAAAGGGGACGAGCTGGGAGCTGCTCTGGCTCCTGGGAGCCGTGGCCAGAACACCACAATGGGCTCAGGAGCTGATGGGCAGCTCTGCCCTGCAATTGCTTGTTGGGGAATCCATCTGTAAAATGGGAATGATAATCTGTGGGGCTGCTGCTGGAAAATTAGCTTTCTAATTCCTGGGCTCCCTGGGGCAGAATCAAAGGTGGGAAGTTCTGTTTAACTCATCTGTGAAAACTTCCAGAACCAAAGTCTATATTGCTGGGAATTTGCAGAAGCTGTGAATTTACTGATTTCCAGCTGTCTGATTTTCTGTGGCTTAGAAAAGGCGAGGCTGGATTTGAGAAGCAGGAAATTTTATTTTTTACAACTCTGCCTAATGTGCACTGAATAAAATTAATAAGACAGCACTTCTGCTTGCTGCTAGCAGCCTTCCTCTTACACAAACGACTTACCTGTGCTTTGCTGCATATTCTAATTTTTCCACTTTATGGATAATTTCCTTCTCTTGTTGTAGAGGTGGTTTCACTCTGATGGATGACTCTGAATAGCAAACCCAGGTGAACTAAAGCATCTCCTGAAGGGTGCCAGGGCTTGAATATATTTTGCATGAGAATCTTTAGCCAAGTAATTTGTTCAAATGCCAATGTAGTGATTCTTTTCCAATAGGGGAACTCCTATGAATCTAAACTTAAAAACGGGTAGAGGCTATGGAGCATCAGCTTCAGGTATTGCTGTTATTTTTATCCTTCACCTTTGCAGTATTTCACCTACCTGGCACTGATAGCTGCAGCAGCTGCAAATTTTGCTCTGCTTAAAAGGATATAGAATTGATGTAAACCAGGAATAGGAAGTGCATATCCTAAAAATCAGTGCTCCCAGCACGGTCTGAGGGGGCAGGATGCAATGGAGTGATTTAATTGCCCATCACTGAACAAGGTGATTATAATTCTATTTAATCTAGGGGAAAAAAAAAAGTATTGCTTGATACTTTTATAGTAAAACCCCAGAATATTTCTAAAATATGTTGTTGCACAGAGGCTGAGCATTGCAGCCCTGGAGAAGGACTGGAACTTAGTGACCTGAGTTACTTGCAGTGAAGGATGCTAAAAGAAACAAACTCTGGCCTTGAGTATCAGCTGTGCTTATTTGGCTGCTAAAATTTTCCCCAGCATTCAGTTTAATTTCTACTGTAAATTGAGTCTTGGATTCTCTCCTTCCACATATGTGAGACTGTCCTTTCATGGGCTTCATCTACTCCCTTCCACTAATTGCTTTATCCAAATGAATTATCTTCTGATTGAGAAAATAAGAACAAATTCCCCTTGTAGGCTCTGTACCTGACAGGTTTTTGCAGATTCCTGTTAGTCCACTAAAGACTGATCCTGAAAAAGTCTCTTGTTATGAGAAAATGTGTCTGTCTTGGGAGGGGAAAAGAAATACTTTGCCTGGGGAGAAAACTAATTTAATTTTATTTTCATTTGGGGTAAATTTCATGTATGTCCTAATGATTTACTCTGTCTGTAGTACCAATCTGGGTTGAATTTGCTTTTCTGCTGTTCAGCTGCAGGTGCTGCACACCCTGTTTGTTTATGGAGTGACTGGAGTCCTTTTTATTAAAAAGCTGATTGTGGTTACCTGCGTGCTGTAAAGCCGATGATTAGTTCACTGCCCTGCTTTGTTTTTGCTGGAATAATTTGCTGAGCAAATGAGTGGATTAAAGGCTTTGCATTAAAAGTTGTAACAGTCCCTCTCTCCCCAAAGCCAAGTTGCAGCCCAAAGGTATTGACTTGGATGCCGCAGGGAATATTAATGGATTGCCTGTGATAGAAGTGGATTTGGATTCATTTGAAGACAAACCGTGGAGGAAACCAGGTGAGGCCTCACAGTTCCTTGTGGTAAATATTTTCTGCAGTTCTAGTTGTGTCTCTTTATTTTCACATGTAATTTCTGTCCATTTATTGTTGCCAGGGAACAGGGAAGCTGGAACATTGCGTGTTGCTCAGCCTCTGCTGCCTGGCTAGACAATCAATGGCATTTACTGATTGAACAAGCCATTGCTACGTAAAATTGGGTTGCATTTATTCTAGTAATTGAACTTCCCTAAAGGGAACAGCTGGGTTTTTTTAAATGGTCCATTTTATTAATACTCTACTTCCCGAGAACATTGCACTGATGCCAATCCAATAATGTTTGGCCTTAAAGGCAGCTGAGTAGGATCAGGATTTGGGTGTTGATATTTGTTTTCCTCTTCCTGTGCTGGAGCTTGTTCTGTGTCCCCAGGCCAAGCCCAGAGTTGTCCCTGTGGTCCCTCCTCATTTGGGTCCTGGGGCTGCCCACACTTACTTGTTTGAGGGAGATTTCTCCTCTTACAGCTGTAGGATGCTGCAAATCAGCTCTTGTTTTTCTTCTGATACAAAAGTAATTGAAGGAACTAGACATCCAGATTTTTGCTGTGCTACTCATAAAATGTGCTTTTATGAAATGTCAACTGAAACCAAAAGTCCACTTGCCTTTTCTCAGCCATCATTATTCTCCCTGCCAGCCCCTGTATTTTATTTATCTTTCAGCAATATTGCTGTGCTGAGTAAGTAGAGCTTTCCTGAGGTTGCCTCTGGTGTGGTCTGGCTATCTCTTACCCACAGGAAAGGCACTCCAGTGCTGAAAGCTCCAGGGGCACATCCAGGTATCCAGCCAGCACCGAAGCACCCTGCAGATAGTGCAGGCAGAATGGAACAGAAGCTTTTCTTCTGCAGGGATTTCTCCTTGAGTGCCAAGTGAGACAGAGGGGAATGGGAAGAAAATGAGTTAGAAAGAATGCAGTGAAGTTCAAAGATAAAGCATGGACATGATTGTGGCCATGCTGACATCCCTAGACCAAAATAGTCAGCTGGCCCTAAAACTGCTGGAATGCAGTAGAGGGAAGATTTCTACCGAGCTGTGTGGTCTGTAAGTTTATTTTAGATAACAAGTAGCTCATTACTCAACAGCCTTTCAGGTTTATATCCTTTACAGTTAATTGTTCAGCAGCTTGGTATGTCTTTGAGTGAGGGAGAGGAAGGAGAAATCCTGTGTGGAGGAGCTGATAGAGGTCTGAAATAGAGGCTGATAAAATCGACAGGTAAATGTTGTGTTGCTGAGTCAGTGTGGATGCAGTTTGCATGTTTGAGTGGTACAGCAGGAAGAGTGGCCAGCCCAGGAGATAAACCTCACTGCTTAAACCTCACAGTTAAACCAAGCTCAGCTTGGGCAGAGTTTTGCTTTGCTCTTGTAGCAGCTCTTTGTTTTGGAGTTGGTCTGTGTAGGAATATCTTTGTGTGGGGGATGTCTGAGGGACACCTCAATGGGGCAGGAGATGCTTTGTAGTGCTGGGAGGTGGGAGGGGATGCTCCTGGAATTCCTGCAGCTGGGATTGCCCCTCTGCATCTCTGTTTTTTTGGCAAGCAGTTTGTGGTCACCTCTGTTATTCAGAAGTGCTCGTGCTGAATTAGCACATTGCACAGGAGACTGGCAGTGGGAGATAACACCCTGGGATGGATAATTAGGGTTATGACTGAACTGTAATTACTTGTGTAGTCTGGGATGCATCAATAAAAACCTTCCACTTTAGCTGCCTTTCACAAAATGATCGAGCCCCAGAATCTCCTCTCAAAACAGCAAAGGCAGTGATGGTCAGGAGGGGAATGTGTGGGTTTAATTCTTCCAGAAAAAAGGCTCTGTGGCTCCACCTCATTTTTGTGGTGGGGACTGGAACTGTCACTCCTGTGCTGTGCCCAGCACTCAGCTCATGTGGACAACTGGGAGAAACCAGCCTGAAAAAAAATCAGACTGGTGAATAAATGATTACAGGGAGCTCCCAATGGCCCGTGGAGATGCTGTCCTGTGTGTCCCACAGGGTCCCACTGCTGTCCTGTGTGTCCCTCAGGTGCCACTGCTGTCCTGTGTGTCCCTGGGCTCCCACTGCTGTCCTGTGTGTCCCTGGGCTCCCACTGCTGCTCAGGCCATGTCCCCAAGGTGCAGCCACTGTCTCCTCTGTGGCACCCACAGCTTTCTGACAGGGAGAGGCACAGGCTGGACTCGCTGGAAAACTTTTGTTGCTTTAACCCTTTATGTAAGCAGTTAAAGGACAGCTTGAGAATGCAAGTGTGCAGAACCTCTGTGTTAACTCCTGCTCCCTCTGCCAGGTGCTGATCTTTCTGATTACTTTAATTATGGATTCAATGAAGAAACATGGAAAGCTTATTGTGAAAAGCAGCGGCGGCTTCAGCTGGGGCTGGACCCTGCTCCTCCCATCAGCACTGAGAACAAGATCACGGTGGGTGATGTGTGACTCCTGCTCTCAGCTCCAGGAAAACTGGAATTGTGTTTGTAGTCACAGAGATGAGGGTGTAAGAGCAGGAGATACCTCAGTTCTGAACTGTTCTGTGTGCTTTCAGCAAGGAAAAATACCCAAATGACTCTTTAAAGATTAAATCTCTGTTGAAAATCTTTTCTGTGTGGAAGGAACAGTTCCATCAGCCTGGCAGGTTTGAACCACTACAGCAGCAAGACTGGAGTGAATTTCAGGTGACTTTAGGGGTGTCTGCTTAGAAAACCTTCTGGATGAGAGAAGTGCAGGGAGGGGAGCTGGGCCCCCAGGGTTGTTTTGCTCACTGCTGTGAAACATGAAACATGCCTTTCATGTTTGCAGACTGCTTTGGCCATCAACCTTGCTGGAGTCCATGGTGGCCATCAGAACTTCAGCCAAATTGTCAGTACAGCAAGTATTGCCCATTCCAGTTTTGACTTAGTGACTCCTTGGAAAATGATATGAGTTTAATGAACTCATAACAGGACTTCTGGTGGGAGACAGTGGACAGCAGGCTGAGGCTGGAATGGCCACTAGCTGACAGAAATGGCTGTGCCTTGACTGAAGAATAGGTTGCTGTGATTGTTCCTTTTCTTTTGCTGTGGGTTGATCTCCAGTGCTCCATTCACTTGAAAGAAAGGCACAACACCTGTGTGTTATCTATGACTTTCCATAGGTTCAGCAGGGAAGAACAGGAAATGCTGAAAAAGAAGTAGAAAACAACATCATCAAAACAGAGTTCAAAACAGACTTCTTGGCTCTGGTGGGAGGACGAATGAAGGCTGGGCCTCCTCCCAACAGGTAAGAGAGGAGCGTGTTTCTCTGGGGGGCACCTGGGAACCATCTGGGCCATGTTTGAGTCTCCTCAAGCCTCAAAGAGAAGCTCTTAAGCTTGGCAGGAAGCTGCTATGGTCACTCATTCAGTGTCACCTCCAGCAGTGCAGCCCCTGCCTGCCCATTCCCCCCTTCTTGGTGCAGGGAGGGAATCCTGGATCCCAGCTGATGGGACACATCTCTGGGAGTGGAAGGAGCCAGGCAAACACCTCAGCTTTGAGGGCTCACACTGCTGACATTGCTTGTGCTTGCTTGGCTTATTCCTACTCCCACGATGTTAATCTTTGCCTCCTCAAGTGGAAGTGGATTACGAGTTTGGCAGAGGATAAGAGGAGCTGTTGGTTCCTGAGCCTGTGTGCGACGCTGCTGGATGTGTGGTAAAACAACTGAGTCATTCTGAGGGGCAGCCTCTGCTGGGGAAACCATTTGGCCCTTAGGAGATCGATGGGGTTTTATCAAAAGCTTCAGAAGAACACACCAGACAAGCCAGAGCTTTGGGCTCAGGGTGTTTCTGTTGCTTCATTCATAAAACAGCTTTTGCACACCTGCTTTGCAGAAAGCAGCCCTGCATCCCAGTTTTTCCCTGTGTCTGAGAACCAACTCTGTGCTTCAAGGATGAGCATTAAAGCTCTGCTCAGTCTGTTGGATTTGAGCATTTTATGGGGCATTTCTGTCCCGGTGTGTAATCCCTGGTTTTACACCTGTTCATGGTGGTTCTTTGGATCACATTCCTGAGTGTTCAGAGAGCCCAAACTCACCCCTACTCAGAGGGAAATTGTTCAGGAATGCAAACGGGCTTCTCCTTGGCTTCTCATCCCAATTTGAGAGATGTTTCCCTGGTGGGAAAGAAAGCATGAAAGAAATCTGCTGACAGCAGGGAAAATTGTTCCTTCTGGTGCTTCTGAGCCTAAAAAGATGCCTGTGCTTTGTACCAGGAAGCTGGGTGGGACCATTGATGTGATCGGGGGCCAGGCAGGCACGATCCGCAGGGTGGAAGGGAGACGTCGGGATAAACACGCCACGGAGGAAAACCCCATTCAGGTAAAGCCTCTGTGCTGCCTTGACAAATTGCTCATTTTATTGCACTTCTGGTGAACCCTGGGCAAATGTCTGTGTGTTCCTGACCTCCTGTGTCCCAGTTCGTACCTGCAGAGCAGCAGGTAATGCATTGACCCTGTTGAGGTGTGTGCCTGGATCATTCCCTTCTGCAGGCTCAGGTAATTTCTGGGTTAAAAACTTGGTCCTGCTAAGAGCCAGGTTTGTTATTTAAAGACCAGTCTTGCCTTTGGAATGGTAAGGCCTGAGTTCTTTCATCATCAGCTCTCCCAAAGTATTCCTAGGAGTGCGTGGCTGGGAATCTCTGCTGTGTATTAATCCCTTCCACTGTGGGGTTGGAATCTTCAAATCTGCAGTGAAGGGTTTGTACCTGGGGCTGGTGTTTCTCTGTCCTTTAAAGTAACATTTAGTCTCAAATCAGTTGATGCAGCCCACACCTCAGAAACAAAAGCCTGGGTTTAAAGCTGGTCTCTGTTCTGGGCTTGCCTGCCCAGTGTGTGGTCATAATGTTCTGGTTGGTTCCTAGGCAGGAAGCTGCAGGGTCTGAGGACCATCTGCCAAACCCCCTTCTCTTAACCACCTCCCTCCTGCCAACACTGCTAACTTGCCACAAAAACCTAAACACGGACCCTTTCTGGGCCCAATTGCTTGGGTTTTTCTCCATGGTTGTGTGGTCCATTTATTCTTTCAGTAGTCAGTTTTCCAGATTTTGCCAAGAAGAGTTTACCTAAGAGACGGAATTTGCTGGGGAAGGGTTGTTTGTTGTTCCTCCCCCTCTCAAGCACTGCCAGCTGCACTTCAGGTCACTGTGGTGCCTCTGCATTTTGCTCACTCTTCAGGCATAGCCTCAGTCCTGCTGTGGTGATGCTGCCAGCATTGTGAGGGCCCTGCTGCAGGAGCAAAGGGATTGAAACTCTCTCTTCTCATTCCTGTGCCCCCTAAGGTCCTGGGAGACCACGGCAGCAAGCCCCAGCCCCCCCAGCAGCCCCAGCAGCCCTCGCAGCCCCAGCAGCCTCCTCAGCAGCAGCCGTTCGCTCCACCAGCAGGGCCTCCGCCTCCCCCGCTCGCCGGGCCTCCTCCTCCGCATTTCCTGCACCCTCCTCCTCCAGTGACTTCTGTTCCACCTCCCCTGCATCCTCCAGGTACGTGTTCACTCCGTGGAACTGAGCTGGCACGTCCCAGGCTTGGAGCAAATCAAAGGTTTAATGGTTCTGTGCCGTAGGATGGTGAACACTCAGGTAACAGATCTTTACCCAAAGCCAGGCTTTGTTTAGTCTCCATCAGCCTATTTAATATTTGCCCTGAATGCTTAAAAATGGCAGCTGCTCCTTGAAAAAAACCCTCTGGGCTTTGTTTCCCTGAGGGAGCCTTCCAGTGCTACTGATCCATTTGTTTTATTGATAAATGTCAAGAAGCAGTTTCCTGTTTCTCTGGAGGAAGCTGAGAACTGTTGCTTCTGGCTTAAATACACCAGAAAATTGAGGGGGCCACACTCTGGGCTTCTCCTGGTCCTGGAGCAGCAGCCAAGCTCTAGAGAAGGCACCAGGAGCACTTCATGCAGTGACTCCTGCCTGAGGAGGATTTGCTGCAGCACTCACAGGTTCTTTTCCCCAGTAACTTTTCCATGGTGGCTTTTCCTACTGCCTTAGATTAAAATGCTTGGGAAAATCGAGATGGACACACTGGAGTGGAACCTGCAGCAGGTTTTCCTCTCCAGCTCCTCCTTCAGTTGTTCTGAAGACCAAATCAATTGTTTGTGTGTTCACACTCAGAAAAGGAGTTCCCCAGTGTAAGAGAACAGCAGCATTTTAAATCATAAAGAGATCATCATTGGGGAAAATTATATAATTTATAGGTTAATTCCCAGTTTGTAGCACCAATTTTTCTGCTGCTCTGTTTGCTCCAGTATGTGAGATTTATTCAAAATTGTGCTTTGAGGTTTAGCTTGAGGTACAGAGAGTCCGTGAAGTACAGAGAGGCCATGCTTTCCCTGTTGTCCTCACTTATTTTCCCTGCTTATTTCCACAGGCCTGCCACCTCCAGGTCCAATTCCAGGTAGGTTTTACCTTGTTCTTAATAACAGCAGCAATTTTGATCACACAGGTTCAGAGCATTTGGACAAAGTAACATGAAATAAGATGGCACCAGTTTAGAGCACAGTTAATTTAAGATTAATAAGCTCCAGCTGAGCATTGAACCTGAGCTGCTTATCTCCTATTCTGACATAAATCTGTTGGTCAGAATCACGTGATCATTACATTCTGATCAGAATGCAACGTGTCTCATCCCAAGAACCACTTTTCCTCCATAGGGCTGTAAGAGTTAATTGTTACTCCTTGATGAATCTCATGTTCAGTATTTATAAGCCAAAATAGAAGGTAGTTTTTGCTTTGGTTTTCTTCCCATATCCCTACAAAACTAACAGAGCTTTAGGGTGTGAATTTGGGGAGGAGATCCTACCCTGAAGGAAAATGATTATTTTTTAAACAGGGCTTTGTTTAGAGTAAAAAGATGTTTTAATGGTTTTTAACTGTGAACAGCACTTGTGAAGCTGCAACATCTTGGTGCTGATTTACCCTTGTGTGTCTAGGGTTGTTCCCACCACCTCTGGCACCACCACCAGCCCTCCTCATCCCAACCTTGGATGGGTAAGACCACACCTGGGTAAGATCCCACCATGGGAGCAGCTCCCCTGGAGGGAGGGAGGGAGGAGAACAGGTCCACAATCAGTGCTGGGGATGCATGGTCTGGTCTGGGGTTGGGGTGGGGGCTGAGAGCAGAGTCTGTCAGGAATCCTCTGTGCATTCACCTGGATCTGTCATATTCAAGGCACAGGAAGGAGCCAGTAAGATCTAGATAAAGCCTAGAGAGCTGATGGCATGATTTGTTAGTGCAGTGCTTTCTCTGAAGGTGCTCCAGGCAGTTTGTGAGCAGTGGTGCTTTCCCAGGGCAAGCAGCGGGGCTATGGCAGCTTTGGAAGCTGTGGCAAAACCCATGAGCATTTCTGGTAGTGGGATTCCCATAGGAATGCTCCACAGACCTGCAGGAAAAACAGGGTGAAGCTGCAGCACAGCCAGAGCTGTGGGGGTCCCTGATGTCAGTAACTCACCCCCTTTTCTCTCCCAAAGGCAGCCAGCCAGCTACAACAACAGGCAGCCACCTCCCTTTGGCTACAACTCTGCAGGTGAGCACCGGGCAGGACACATCCAACTGCTGCTTCCTCTCTTCCCTGGTTCTTGGCAGCCCAGGCTCTCCTGAGGCTGACACACATCGTGTCTGCTCCAGCTCCAGGGTCTTGCTGTGTCCCAGACCATCCCAGTCAGGAGCACACGCTGGGTTTGCTGCCTTGAGTGCTGTGCAGGTGTGTTGATGCAGTTTGGTGGCCGAGCACTGAGGCTCAGGTCGCTGTTCCAGGGCAGATCCCCAGCACAGAGCAGCTTCCCCAGTGCCTCAGCAGTGTGTTCTGATGCTTGTTTGCACACACACTTGCTCACCCTCACACTCTCCCTTTTCCCCACCCTCAGGGATCAGCACAACCATCTACAGCTACTGAGCTTGGCATCTCCTCCCTGAGCTTTTGAATCCCTCCTCCCCCACTTCACCCTCTCCCTTGCCTACAGGCACCATCTCCGGTGGTTTTGTAACTGGAGAGGCAGTGCCAGGATTTCAGCAGATTCCCTTCCCTGGTGCAGCCCCAGTTCTCTCCCAGTCCTGCAGTGACCAGGAGTGGCTCCTTCTGGCTGTGCTGAGCAGTGGAAGCACAGACAGCCCTGCAGGGCAGGGTTGGAGGAGTGGCAGTGCCAGCCTTTCCCAAGGAGAGGAGCCTCCAGTGCTGCCAGATGTGGCACTGCTTTGGGATACAGTCTCGCTGGTCCAGCTGGCCACCTCTGCCTGGGAAATGCTGGTGGCTCTGGGCTCCCCAGGTGACATCCTTCACTGGCAGCTGGTGCCCCTGGCCCTCCCCAGGTGCCACCCTAGACCAAAAGGTCACTGGTGGGAGGTGGGACCTTGGACAGGTGACCAAGAGTCCAGGTTTGACAGTGCAGTGCTGCCTGTGAATTCCTGCTCTTGTACTTTCCTCAGGGAGAAGGAGCTCCCTGTTGTTAGCAAAGTGCTGGAAGTGACAGCAGGGAGCTGGGTCATTGTCTCCTTGGATCCAGCTCTGCTGCCAGAGGGGACCTTTGGAAAGGGAGGGACAGAGGGGATGCTGGCATGCTCTGGATGATGGAGAGTTCTGCTCTCTGGCTGCAGATTCAGGTTTCATCAGCTACCCCCCCATCTCCACGTCCCACACGCCCTGGGTGACCACGGTGGACAAGGGCACGAGCAGCTCCAGCAGCAGCCACTGGGAATACTCGGGCTCCAGGCGCGAGAGGGAGCGTGAGCGAGAGCGCGAACGGGAGAGGGAGCGAGACCGAGACCGCGACCGCACCCCGACCACCAGTGAATACAACAAGTGAGTGCTGCCCTCCTGCTGCTCCCTGGGCAGCCCTGGGACACCTCAGGGTGTCTGGCCGAGGGTTGGGTTGTAGGGGACACCAGCTGAATTCTCTGGAATGTCTGGGGAAGAGCTCCTTTGGATCAATAAGTACAGCACAGACCAGGAGCTGTGTCACCGGCTGATTTCCTGTCTCTGGGTCTGGGGTTTTTTGTTTAAATCCAGCAGAACCAGTTCCTCTTGCTCTCCCACGAGGCCAGTCAATGAAATAGCCCCTCTGTGTTTACTCAGTGTTTCACAGCTCAGTGTGAAGCACTGGCTGCAGGAGCTGCTGCTTCTTGTCTTCTAAATGTCACTGTCAGATCAAAGGACAAGCAGCCTGCTCTGCTCCGCTCTCCTGGGGGGCTGGGAGCGCCATTCCCTGGGAGTCAGCCAGGAAATGGGAGCAGGACTGGAGAGACCACCTTGGTGGGAGCTGCTGTGGCCTCGGCTGACAGCAGTGCCAGGAGCACTTGGGGAAAGGCCAGGAGGCTTGGAGCCTCCCTGTGCTGATCTGAGGTGGAGGCTGGGCTGCAGAGACTTCCCAAACCCATCCCTTTGGTGTTCAGTCAGTGTTGGTGTTTTGCAGGCTCCAGGCTCAGAAATGCCAATAATCATTCAAAACATGATCAGAATGTGCATTCCTGGCACAGGGTACTTCCTGCCTGGGAGCTTCCCAGCCCAGGGAGCGAGCAAACAGGGCAGTGTGCTCCCAATACATATTTTTTTTTTTTCATTTATAAGCTTTTGGGCACTGTGGATGGGAGGAGGGGAAGAGAACAGAAGACAAACTTGCTAAAATTGGAAGAGCTCAGACTCCCCCACTTCCTGGTCCGTGCTGGAGCCAAGGCCTGGGATCAGCACTCCTGAGCACATTGCTGGCATTTCTGGAGCTCCCTGGTGCAGGTCAAAGCAGGGCAAGTGGCCATGCAGTTCTTGAGAGCACTCCCAGCTGATTGATCCTGGACATTTATTTGTCCAGCTCGTTTCCAGGAGTGTCAGAACAATGTCTCTGACGTTGTTTCTCCCAAGTCTGGGTATTGTTCTCACAGAGGGACTTGTTAACCCTTTGGATTTTGGCTTTCAGAAGTTGACCAGAGGTGTAGAGGGTTGTGTCTCAGTTGGGGGTACACCCTGCCCACTCCTGGTGGACAGGTGGAGAGGTACAGACAGAAAGCTGTGCTCACAGCTGGAGGTTTTGAGCTCGTGGGGAAGAAAACACAAAAGGATGAGAGGTTGTCTGGGGTGTCTGTGCTGAGGGAAGCCCAGCCAGCGGCGAGGGGAGCGTGAGTGCGCTGTGTTCCTGTTGCAGGCGTTTCAGCAGCACCCCAGCTCTGTCAGACGCTGCTGGTGACAGCTGGTGACAGCTGCACCCCTGCCCAGTGGCTCAGGCCCAGGGGGCCGTGTCCCTGTGCCCACGTGTCCCTTGTCCCCGCAGTGATGATGAGCGGTACCGCTACTACAGCCGCGAGCGCAGCTACGACTTCGAGCGCGATTACCGGCGCAGCCGCGACCGCAGCCGCGAGCGCGAGGAGCGGCACCGCGAGCGCCGCCACCGCGACAAGGACGACGGCAGCAAACACAAATCCTCCCGCAGGTCAGTGAGGGCGGGGCAGGAGCTCCGTGTTCTCGGGCTGGAATGTCAGCCCGGCTCATCCCTCTGCCCGAGAGCCTTGGGCGGGAGGGACTCTCTGGGACAGGGAAAGGAGACCTCGGGGTTGAGTCCCAGCTCAGTGGGTGAAGGAGGGGTTGAGCTGGGCTCAGCCTCCCAGCAGAGCTCCCATCTTAACAAAAGCATACACAGAGGAGGTGCAAGGCCATGACAGAAGCATCAGCTTTTGATCCTGCTGCTCCTGTGCTGGGCAGAGCTCAGAGAGTCCATTCGGTTGGAAAAGACCTCTGAGATTGAGTCCAGCCTCTGACCCAACAGCACCTTGTCACCCCAACCATGGCACTGAGTGTCACATCCAGCCTTTCCTTAAACATGGCCTGGGACAGTGACTCCGTCACCTCCCTGGGCAGCCCATTCCAATCAGTCAATCTTTCTGTGAAGAACTTCCTTCTGCCTGCACTCAGAAATTGCCTCTGGAGCAGGAGGAGCAGAGCTCTTGCCCAGAGTCTGATGGTGAGGTGATGGTCTGCACAAAGCTGAAACTTCTGGGGCAGAGCAGCCTGTTCTGAAATCACAACTTTTCTGCAGAAAATGGATGTACAACAGATGATCCTCCAGCAGTCCCCAGCAGAGCAGCAGCTCTGCTCTCTGGGCTGAGGCAGATGCTGTGCTCAGGTCCTGTGTCACTTCACATCCCATTAATGACTTTCTCTTTTTTCTTGATGCTTCAACTCCCTTCTTTCAGGTGAAATTCCTGTCAGCTCTGTAGGTAATGACCCTTATTTTGAAACTGGCATCAGAAAAACTCCTTTGTAGTGACTGGAGGAAAGAAGCTGTTTTATCCTTAAGGAGATGAGTAAGTTTTCAAGGAAGGACTGGTTACTGAAGGGTTGGAAGCAAAATGATAGCAAGAAAGACTAAGACCATAATAAAAACTGAATTCAGAGCAACTGGAAGCTGAGCTGGTATCAGACAAACAAATCATTTGCTTTAGGGTTATTTCTCAGCTTCCTCTACTCAGAATTGAAACTTTGGAGTAGATACCTCACTGCAGGAATGCTGGCCTGTGGTCCTTTCCAACCCAAACCTTTCTGGGGTTCCCTGCTTGAGGCACACTGAGGTTTGAGGCATCTGCAGATGAAAGGGTTTCATTTCCAGTTTCCTGCAAACTGAGCAGTCTGCAGGAAATCACTGACGCTGGTTTCAGTATTAAAGGACAGTCACATTGTCCCAGCATAAACCACTGACACATCGGCCACGAGGTGGCTGAAGGTGTTTTGTGGAGAAGCAGCAGCCTTTTATTTTTCTCTATTTTTTTTGTCTTTAATGACTGTGAAACCATTTATTAAACCAGTCAGAAAATTACTTGAAGCCGGGAGCTTTTCAGCCAGGTTCATCCAGTTCTGTGTCTGCTGCTAAACTGGAATTCCAGCTGTGCTAAGAGTTGGTCTGTACACGTGATGCTGTCCCTGCTCATGGAGCACAGCCTGCACAGTCACAGTTTATCCTGGGATAGATTTATCTGCTTGTTCCTGTACTCTGAATTCTTCACACCTTCACACCAGTCAGGTCCTGAGAACTCCCTTGGTTTGAACCTGTGAGAGAAGCAGGAGAAAATCTCCTGCCAGGAGAGGCCAAACCAGAGTTCCCCTCTTTTCCTGATGAGGGGCAGAGCTGCTCCTGGGCTGTTTGGCTGCATGGAGCAGCTGGCTCAGGGCATGCACAGCCTGCTCAGGCCTCTTCTGCCTGGGATTGCTCCTGGGTCAACATCCCCAGTTCTCCACCCACATCTGGAAAACTGGGGGAGATAAAGGAGTTCTAAAGCACGAAGGCAGTGAAGAGCCAGGTCAGGTGTGAGTCAGCAGAAGTAGAAACAGGATCTGTTCTCATGGGGAAACCCACATTTCTCTCACTCCACTGATCCCTTTGCTGCCTTCAGTCCGGGGATTTCCCCAGGATGTTCAGAGCAGTGAAAGTTTCAAAAACGGACTCCTCCTCCTCTCAGCCTTGGCGCCCTGTCAGAATTTCTGGAGCTCACTCGGGAGTGCAAGAACACCGAGGTGTTGCCTGTGGACACTGCCAGGAGTGGCTGTGGCAGTGTGTGACAGTGGCAGTGTGTGACAGTAGCAGTGTGTGACAGTAGCAGTGTGTGACAGTGGCAGTGTGTGACAGTGACAATGTGGCAGTGCTGATGTATCCCAGAAATCCCCGCCGTGCCCTCGGTGCTGCTGAGGTGGCTCCTGTTGGTGGGGTGTAGCCCCCAGTGGCCATCAGCAGGTCCCTGCTGTGGCAGGGCTGTGTCTGATGTCACTTTGTCCCCTCTGTCCCTGCTCAGGAAGCAGCACGAGAGCGAGGAGGGGGAGAGCCACCGGCGCCACAAGCACAAAAAGAACAAGCGGAGCAAGGAGGAGAAGGAGGCCAGCGAGGACGGAGCCCAGGAGGGCGAGGAGCAGGACACCAAGGAGTGAGGGAGGCCCCCATCAGCCCTCGGCAGGAACTCACTCCCGTGGAACCAGCATGGCTTTGGTGATATTTTGCTTGGGGGGTGATTTTTTTTTATTATTATTTTTTACTTTTTTCCAAGGGAAGAGGCTGACTGGGCGAGCCGTGGCACAGCCGGCAGCGCTTCCGGAGCTGAGGCTGCACGTGCCCTTAAACTTCCTTTTTTTGTTTGTTTTTGATACAAGACAATACAGCAGTACTAGTTACAAAGCACTGAGCTACTCATCCACATCCCTAGGGAGAACTTTGGTGTATCAGATCCTATGGTTTCTGATGGAAGATGGCTTCAGCTGAAACTAACGCAATTAGGTCGTAGTTCTTGGTTCTTTTTGTCATCATCATTCCTTTTTGAGAACTAGGACAGTAAGTGCAACTTGAAATTTATTGTCCAAAGAACAGCGTGGCTTAGATCCCAGCAGCCAGCTTAGAGTCTGGCGTCCAGTAGTGACAAGTCTCATCCCCGAATAAATTTCTTTCTAGCTACAAAAACAGCTTCTGATTTCTCCGTGGCCAGCTGGGCGTGTCAGGAGGAGCTGCAGGATCTGCTCCAGGTGGGCACAGGGGCCTGCCTGGATGTGACAGCTTCCAGAAGCTGCTGAGGGCGTTCACACAGCGTGTGCAGAGACTCCAAAACTGGCTTTTTTTATCCATTGCAAAGGTAGTTCTGTCACATTGCACCTCTACGTGGGGAATCAATGAAGATCCATAGCAAGAGCATGAATTTCTCTTTAATTCCTTTTGACTTAACTATTTTATTTCCTTTTTTTACTAAGAGTTGACTGAATAACCTAGAGTGCAGTAGAGAACACCAAGTCCCAGTTAGCAGTTTGCCCTCGTGGGGTTGGCATTTCTATTTGGGTATCACCAACACTCCTGTCCAATGCATTCCTTTCCCTTAGATTCCAAAATAAATTTAGTCAAATTCCAAAGTTTCTTTGGACTTAGTATTGGTTGGGGAAAGGCAACAGAGATGTTTCTGGGTGGGAAGAACAGGGGAAATAATTTTGAGGGGTTTGGGTCTGTCTGGTCCTTAGGATCTACCCTTCTGTTCATGTGACTCCACAAATGTCTCATTTTCCTTTGACTTGTTATTTAAAACTGTCTGAAATATTTGTCCTAAAATAATACGGTTCTGAAATGTTCTGTATTTTTTGGTATTGTAATCTTGGAAGTCTTGAATGTGCTGGGAAGTGTCCAACCTGTGCCAGGAGAGCCCTTGGGTTCAGGTTCAACATTGTGACAGTGCAGTGATGGGTTTGTAACTGCAGAGCCCAGGGGACAATTGGACCTTCTGCTGGATTTTGGTTTTCATGGAGTATTTTTAATATGCTTGAGCTCCTGGGAAATGTGTGTGCACTGAGCCAGCATTAGCTGGGATCAGGCTGCAGGGTGTTCCTGCCTCTGCAGGCACAGGGGAGCCCAGATTTGGGAATATCACTCACTGCTCCCTGGGCAGCTCTGCAGGCTGCAGCAATCCCAGCTCCTGGCACTGGGTGTGCAAGGAGCAAGGGAATCCTCCTGGCAGCTCCTGCTCAGGGCAGGGCTTCAGCTGGGAGTGCCCAAAAGCTTTTAGGAGAGTGGGATGAACTTGCTGCTCCCAGGAGAAATCCAGACGAGAGTTGTGAGGAGGGATCAGGAGTGCTTGGTCTGAGCTCCTGCAGCGCCCCCGGCAGCGGTGCCCCCATCCCTCCAGAGCCCAGGCCTGGCCAGGGCAGTGCCAGGGGGGAGAGGGGTCCAGACCCCTGCCCAGGCCCTCAGAACCTGCATTTGCTGCTGTTGGGCCCTGCTGGCTTCTCCCAGCACAGCCCCTCTGGCCTTGCTGGGGCAGGCAGTGCCCCCAGCCCCCCGGATCAGATCCGTGCTGCCACTGGAATGGTGCAGCCAGGTGAGGGGGGTTGGCCCCAGCCAAGGACATTTCTGCCACCTTTGCACGCTCAGGTGTCCCTGGTGCCTCTCCAGGGGTGGCCAGGGCTGTTCCACATCCACTCCCTGACCTCCTGCGCTGTTGGAGGGACACAATTAATGGTGATCACAACCCCTCCAGCCCTGGGGGTGCTGTGGGAGTGGGAATGGGGAATCCAGCATGGATTCACTCGGAGCTGCGCCTCCTCCTGTGTCATTTGAATGAGCTGGACCCAAGTGACAGAATATGCTGAGTTGGAGGGGACCCCCAGGCTTTCGGGGCCAGGAGCAGCTGTGGATTTAAGGTAAATAGTTTTAAATTGGCTTCTTTTCATTAAAGGGAGGTAAATTGTTTGCCTTTACTATCAGGGAAACGTGAAGGTGGGGTGTTGGAAATAATCTGTACTTTCATCAGGAAGCTGCTGCAGGTTTCCTGGTGTTGGGATGTGAGGTTTACTGCTGCTGAGGGATTTTTTCCAAGCCACAGTGTATTTCAGGATAGTCCAGCTCCTTCCCTGGGAGAAGCAAAGAGAGTTCCACCATTTCCTGCCACAGAGGAGGCAATCTTGCTGAGGTGACCTGTTCTGGGGGATTAGCTGCTACATGGAAAGGAAAGACCACACCTCTAATGCATATTTTTCAGCAATATTACAATAATTTATAAAGGCATCAAAACAAATTCAACATCTATTAACAACAAGCTGATTTTGGAAACAAAATTTAAATTATGAGGACATTTTGGTGAAGTTGAAGGCACCTTGAAAGGAGATGGAGTAAAAATGGTTCTGCAGCCTCTTCCTCCTCCCTCCACTGCCAGCCCAGCAGCTGCACAGCTCTTCCCTCCTGCCCTTTCCCCACCTTTGGGGCAGGCAGTGGGAATCACCCTCTCTCTGTCCACATCAATATTTACTGTTCCAGGCACAGATTCTGCACATTAATTGGAAAGAGATAAAAAATTGCTTCACGTTTTTGTGTCCCAGCGAGGTCAATGATGAGTTTTCCTCAGTGGATTATTTTGCTCTCAGCATTCAGTAGAACAACAGGAGAGCAGCCCTGGAGCTCAGGTAGCCCCAGAGGTGCTGTCAGAGTCCCCAGAGGTTCTGCTCAGCCCAGCCAGGGCTGCTGTGAGGATGATCCGAGGTTCCTGCTGTGTCCTGGGCTCTGGGGCAGGCCCTGCTGTCCCTGCCCGCAGCTCCCAGCGCAGGAGGTGAAGTCACTGTGTGTAAACAAGGCCCGGGGACAGCAAATGACAAACTGCCAGCCCAGGAGAAGCTTCAGCTGGGGCTGGGCTCCTTCCTGCAGGGCTGCTCCAAGGAATTAAACATTCATTCCAGGCAGCATTTGGACAAGGAACAGGCTCCCTGGATTCTTACAAAGCTGGTCCTGCAAAAGGTGCAGCAGAGGCAGCACAGGAGGAAAGATCTCTCAGTGCAACCTGCTTTGAGAAAAACACATCATTTCTGCTGCTCATTAAGCTGCTAAAAAAAGGGAATTGTTTCAGGTGGAGTTTGCAAGTAGGAACTTTCACAGTGTCAGAGGTCAAACCACCCTGCCTGGGCTTCAGTTCTTCAGTTGTGAATTTTAACTGCACAGTGGGTTTGAACTGAAGGCGGGCTGGGCACAGTCTCCTTCTGGAGGTGACTTTTCCTGCAGTCAGGGATCCTTTGAGCTTCCCCTGATCCCATGAGTTGATATTTTGCTCCAGCTGCAAGAGGGATGTGAACAGAACTGTGGGAGAAGTCTGACAGGTGCCCTCCTGCCCCTGCCTGCACTCTGCCCCTCATCACTGGAAACAAAAATAAAACGGGCATCAGGCTGGGCCAGCCCATTCCCCTCCTCACCTTCCTTCTGGGGAAAAAGCTGCTTTATCAATCCTAAAACCAGGGAAACTTGTGTGCAATAAGTGAACCTTGCCCTTGACCTTTGGTAAAGTCACATTTTGCAACATCATATTTCAATGAAACGCCTCTTTCTGATACCTTGGAGAGTGGTTCTTTAAGCTGTTGAAATTGTCCCTTTGCAATAAATCAGTGGAGTTGGCAGGATCCTAAACTGGGATTTGTGACAGGACCCTCATACAGAGAACTGGCCCAGCAGCTCCGAGTTTTACTGTATTAACACATTCCTGGGGTTACTGACACCTAAAAATGAGGACTGGGAAATCCTGATGGGTACAAGTGCCTAAATTGGGTCCCCATCCTTACAGATTTAGTAGCTGCTTCTAAAAGCCTCTGTTTTAACCTGTTCAAACACTCAGTGGAAAGCAGAGCCCGAAAATCAAGGCAAGCCTCAGCAGCCTCCAGGGCAGGTTGTGGAGAAACACTGGGAAGAGTTTTCTGTGCACCACCAGGCCTAAGGAGCTGTAATGAGCCTGGGAAGCTCCAACAACTGTGGGATTAACCCTTACTTTGAATTTGACATCCAGGTTTGTTGGTAAAATGTTTTCCATGAAAAGGAAGCGAGGAGTCTTCCATGGCAATGCACCGGGAGCAGGAGTGGAGCAGTCCCTGTTTCCCTGCCAGCTGTGGCCTGGGTGGTGTCCAGCTGCTCTTGGGTACCTGGAAGTGTTGGGGCTTTGGTGGAGCTGTCACACGAGGCTCCCTGGCCAGGACACCACAGTCAGGGTCACTTTGTTCCTCTGCTCCTTCAGCATTGGGATTAATTCCGAGTTGCTCATTCCTATTGCTGGCACTCCGTTCACTGCCACGATTTCATCTCCACACCTGCCCAAAGACAGGATCCAGTCAGGACTGGGCTCAGTATTAACCCTGCACCCACCATCACCCTCAGCCAAATCAACTCCTCCTCCAAAGAGCTTGGGGCAGAGGGGAGGGGACGATGAGAACCTGCTGCTGCTGGGGTGCCAGCAGTGAGGGGCAGGCAGCAGGGCAGGAGTTGTGCTGCTGAAACACTGCTGGCCCAGGTCAGTCCTGCAGCTCCAGCGGCCCCACTGGCACCATCAGAGGTGTGAGAGTGGCACAACCCAGCCCCTTCTGGGGGGTGTGAGGGGCTGAGCACCCCCAGCGCTGCCCCAGGACTCCAACAGAGCCCAGCTGAGCCCGCTGCTCCCACCTCGGCTCTGGGAGCCAAGCCCCGACCCTGCCCCCGGCTGTGTCCCCCCGGTGTCCCTGGCAGCCCCTCCTGCCCCAGAGATGTCTGTGGGCTCCTGCAGCCCCACCCTGCTCCTCTCACTGGGATCCCTCCCCAGCAGCTCCTGCTCAGGAGGGCTTCTGTTACCTGTGCTGGGATACTTCTCCTAATCCAAGAGGTTTTATACTCCGGAACCTCCAAGACTGATCTCAAACATCCTCTTTATACTTTCACCTCATTACTCAATTAAACCCTTCGCAGTTAGGTTTTAAAGGGCTGTAAATTCCTTTTCGTTGCGCCTTTGTGGAGAAACCAAAGCGCTGCTTAACGCAGGGCTTAGTTTGTTACAAGTTTGGTAACAGTATTAACTCTCAAAGGAGATGATGAGCGAGTCATTAACCGGGAGCTGAGCTCCTTCCAAGGGTCAGAGTCTGGGAAGCGCCCCCAGCCCTGGTGGTGGTGGTGGTGGTGATTCCCCAGGAACCTCACACCTACTTGAGTTTCCTGTCCCGGAATGCCGGAGTCCCGGGCACGATGGTTTTGATGAAGAAGGGTTGGTTTCCTTTGCTTTCCTCAAAGCCTCCCACGATGCTGAAACCCCAGCTCTCCAGGTTTCCTTTACTAAGGACGATATCTTGACAGAAGTGAAGGTAGCTGTGTCAAAAACAGAGAAGTTGTGAGGAAAATTGCCTGACCAGGAATTTATGTTTTCCCTCATGGAAAGCACAGCCTCATTTTCCTGTTTTTTAGGATTTGAAACACCCCTTTGCAAGGCATGTCAGAGGGTTAATTCCCAAATGGGATGATGCCAGTCCTTTAGAAATCTTTCCTCAGTGTTGCTTTAAGAGTTAAGAGGGAATTACCCGGCTCTAAAGGGGTTTGGGACCTGCAAGACTCCCGAATAACTTTGTGAATTCTGCTAATGAACAGCCAGTGGCAAACCCAAATTAACGGTGAGCAGCAGCCACACCCATGCAATTAAAGAGAAGAGGGTTTTTCATCCCCTCCGTGCAAGGAAGGTTTTCAAATGTGAGCTGCAGCAGCTGCCAGATCAGAGCAGGGAAGGGCTTTCCTGCAGGATCCAGGATGTCCAGTTCCACTCGTGGGCTCCTTGCTGAGAGCTCCCTGGTTCTGGATGGTGGCCAGCGAGGTTTGTCTCCTCAGGGAGCCT